TTGTTGTAGTCGTCCCTTGAAGTGTTGTCAGACCGAACGGATGAACTCCAAGAGACTGTGCTAGGAATGAAGAATCGCTTGAAAACAATGCAGTGTAACCAGGAGGAGATACATAAGATGTTGGCGGGAATTGTCAAGAAACTTGATGCCATCGTCGAAGGAGATGACGATGAAGACGATCAGTTGTTTTAGTCGCGTGAAGTTATGAAACCGCTGGTCGTTTAGAATAGCAAATAACTGGGTTCACGAGCAACGCGTTTACTGATCATTAGAGTAGTGAGACTATTGTAACTTGAAGAAGGATTCTTATGTCATACACACGAGGTTTTTTTGTTGACTGAATGATTGAATAGTGAATCGTGAATGTATTTATGCACGCATTAACGTTGTCTTCGTTACGCAACTTGTACTCAGTCTGAGTGGAGCGTTGCAAACCGAACGACAGTTTCAAAGGAGGCTAGTTGCACTCATACACGAAAAATGTGTTGAAAAAGCGTTGTTGAAATTTTAACAGTTCTACTGATATTTGTCTACATTAATTGTTAGGAAATATTTATACCAGTACCAGAAATGTGGCTTTCTTTTGCACCACAAAAACAAAATTATATATGTGGCACTTAAACGACCGCTGTTTGGTTAGTTTAGTTAATTATATATAGGCTATTTTAGAAAAATGAGATATTTAATAGATGTGTGTACCCAAATTATTCAGTAGCTTACTAGGAAATACAAGAATTATTGAAGTCAAGCAAAATATTTATGATACACGGGAGAAACGTTTGCGAACCTCCATTGTACACGCCTAGCACAAATCCATCTCACCTGAATAAAGAGCAAATGGAGAAGGCTTGCTCTGAGTTAAAACAAAATATATGTTAATTAATTCTTTTTTAGAATGAACCGGTTCATGTTCTTAATAGAATCCTTCGTTGAAAAGTTAAAAATAATTATAAGTTTCTTTGCTCAATTGCTCTTTTGTGCTAAGCAGCGTTATAAAAGTTTTTGCGAAGGCGCTTTGTTTTCTGGAATCAATATTTTTACAGCTATACTCGCCAAACTTCAAGGGATGATGAATAAGGTATTTTTTTTCATAATTAATTTCAATAAAAAACATACCCAAGATGATTGCAACATTTAGCAAATAGGTTTATTCAGTTAAACTGTCGGAACCAACTGAACTAAAAATTTTCGTAGTAGTTAAAAATACTAAGATTTTATGACGCAGCCCTTTTTTCGTCCAGATCCTGATTAGGAATAGCCCTCCCACACCCGCTGTCGGATTCTGTACTGTGATATCTTCGAACTAAGGACTTGACGGTAATAAACTTTCGGAAGAATGTTATTCCGCCTCCCTTCTCAAAACTGGATGCCGGCTTTTCATCGATTTCCTCACATGCCATGTCTAGGAGTACAATTCTTGGATTTAGAGGCTTGGGTCGAACAAATCGTCGCTCGTATGAACAGGGAAGAGTGAACACAATGTCTGTCTGAGACCTGGGAGCTAAATCAGCTGAAGTTATCTCCTCAGACTCGAAGTCAGGCTCATCATCCAAATACTCGCGTATAAATTTAAGTTTAGAGGCACAAGTAAGGCTACTGCGCCTTTCTCTTTCCAACACTAAATCCCCTTCTTCAGGTTTAGGAGTTGAACTGCGTGAGTTGTTATTAAAAGCACGCTCCTTATGTACACGTGTAGGCATTTCACTCAGCACTGGTTGAGCCCACTTACAATTACCACCTGAGTGAACGCGCCTGACATCCTGCGCTGCTGGGGTCTTGGATTTCTGAACCCTGGTTCGCGCGTTCGGTGCTAGCGCCATATTCCTGCAAAATCTTTCTTCCCGTTTGATTTTCTGCAAGCTCTCTCCAAACTCGTTACTGTCTTCGTCTTCGGTCTTCTCGTTGCTCCTGCTTTCTTGGAGTACTTGTTTTGCAGCTCTAATTGCTTCAAATCTGTCCACAGCTTTTTTTACTTCAAGAACTCGCTTGCATTTCTCACAAGAATTACCATTGCAGTTATGCCTCTGGTCCAGCGCTCTCCAATGGAGTGATTTCAATGGCCGACCATCTACCCCCTGAGTTACCTCAGCGCTAACTTCATCATTTACTTCTCCCAGTTGTTCTTTCTCCAGAAATTCTCCATCCTTCACCCCCTTTACACAAATTGCTTTGTTATCAGGCTTGTATAAATCGTGAGAGAGCGATCGCGAGAGTCGGTGTTTTGATATTTCGGAGCACCTTCTCTGCATATTGGCAAAATGAAGTGATTTCAGTTGTGATCCGTTTTCCGGCTCCTCTTTCACTTTGAAAACTTCGGGCAATCCAGGATCAAGAACTAGATCTATAGCTTCCTGTTGTGCTCGAATGAAACTTCTCGATCGGCGCGCTTTGCCTTTGTTGGCTCCGATAATTCTTCGTAATATTGAGTTTTCTTCACGATCCTGTGTTATTAGACCCGGAAAGGCACTTTCCCCCTCAGAGCATTGATCAGCCTCTTCGAGCATCTTTGAAAAAGTGTGTGTGTTTAAGCTACCACGATACGTTTACGACGTCAGCGAACAATTGAAGTTGATAAATATACAATCAATTTATTGTCATAATACATTATTGTGCGCGCGCTCCTCTAATGTTATCCGGTCGATTCGAACCCACTCTTAAGTCGTTTCGTACCCAAATCACTCGTGGATTTTTGCCAAAACCGCTGATTGATTCTTACCTGATTCTTACCCCTCCTAATAAACATTTATTCGAAATACCTCGCGCGTACCTTACACTGGCTGCATGATTTGGTTTTATCGCCTGGTTGATGATGTAAATTGGACACACAAAGTAGTCGCACTTCAAAAATGAACACTAGGAAACAAAAATTATTTTATGCATGTAATATTTCAATTCACAATAAAAGAAACCGACCATAAATTTAAACATACTTATCAAGAAAAACATACTTTATTAGTTTGAGTACGAAACGACTTAACAGGATACGAAATGACTCAACAGTCTGCATACGAAACGACCGGTAACCCCTCTATTTATTCTTCATTCTTTACTCACTTACCTTTTTTTAGATGATTGTTTATATGCTTTTAAATATCCCGAATGGTATCCAATGAAATTCTAAGTTTCTAGATTTGCCTGCCGCGGTAAAACCTGGTATGAGCTGCAGAAAAAGTAACCTTTACTGTAAATGCACTTTCCCTTCACGAATGGCATCAAGATACGGAAGTAAACTACACGCTTAATAGCTTTGTTCTTTTTTCGTCCACCTTACTTTTCTTTCTTTCCTTTTTCTTTTCTCCCATCTTATAAGGCTGCGTGAAATGCCTGAGTTGCGTGACGTTGTAATTTGCCGCTTTCGTGTCGCACTCCGTGTTAGACTGGGTCGAGTATGTACGCTGGCTTGTTCCTCGTAGTGTTCGACACGTAGGCAGAGCACATACAAACAAGCATCCGTCAGTGTTGGAAAGGAGATGAGCGTTCGTCCGTAATATTATACCTGTCTTGTTCGTAAAATTTTGTCCTTTGTTACAGTATGGAAGCAAGATATAATTTAAGAAGTCCAGGTAACGATTTCTTTTGAGCAGCTCAGTTAAATCACAGTTAAATTTTGAAAACGTTCCTCCAAACAGATTTCGATTATTTCATTCTTCATCATGTACAAGTTTGTCATGAATTCGGTTTGATGTTCTTGTTATGATTTTCTAACTCCAATTTTTAGGAGTGAAACGCTTGATGAGAGAAGCAAAGGAGTTGAGTCAACCAACAGAGCTGTATTTTGCGCAACCACTGGAGGTAAACAATGAATTTGGGTCCGTGAAATTCATTGGAAACACGGAAGGAATATGAGTATAACTATGTTAAAATGCAGCACGTAGTAGTGGAAATGCAAGCATATTTACATGACGTGCTGGGTCTTGAACCAGTCTCTAGCAAAGTATGGTACACTCATAGAGCGAGAATTTAATCGGAGGCTGACAGTCGCTGCTTGTGGTTGTTTTAGTAATCATGGCAGAACCTGTTTGTTGATGGTGAAGAGTCAGCAGTTGAACTCGTTAACTCCCAAGATCTGATTGTTAATTCTCCCCTTTTGCTACTGAAAATTTCCTTGTAGATAAGCTAAAAGAATTCTACTTTAGGTGAAGATGACTACTAACCCTTCCTGAAAAGTTGGAGAGTATTCTCATTACCTGTTTACTAAACATTGTATGGATAGTATAGGGAGAAGTTACATTTTGATAATTTCTGGAAGGTCAAGGGGTTTAAATGCTATTACTGTATGATGCTGTGACAGAAAAGCAACTCAGATACTATAGTATCTGAGAAATTTGATAATAAATAGTAGTACTAGTATGATAGCCATATGATGGAGTCATAACAAGAGGTTGTATCACTGCAGGATAATTTGTTTGAATGGCACTTCACAGTACGTGGCCCTCCTGACAGTGACTTTGCTGGGGGACGATATCATGGCAGAATAACTCTGCCACCAGAGTATCCAATGAAACCACCAAGTATTATGTTATTGACTGTAAGTAAAACTCGCATTGAGTAAAAGGATCAGCATGTTAATTAAATGAGAGTAGTACCATATTATAATGTATTTAAATTTAGTTTTGTGTGACCAAACTCAGAACCAAAGTTATCCTAGAAGCAATTAGATAAAGTTAAATATTACAAGGAGCTAATTAGAACTGTGGTGTTAGTTTTTCATCTGGGTGAGCAGCAGATAGGTTTAAGTTTCCTGGACCAGTCAGAAATCACTATGTAACAAAGCTAGAGAAATCCCTGAACTGCCTATGACACTTGACTGAAAATGGCATCTCTTCATCTCT